TGTCTTGGTGTTGCAGAGATGCTTTCATTATTTTGATGTGCAATCCTGAGGTTCCTTCTGCAAGAATCTAGCATGCTTTCCCCTGTTATAAGCTACCTAGGAGGGCTTTGGTTTGAAAGATACGTACAAGCTTTTCATATAAAGATCTTTCCTCTGAGAAATTGCCAAGCTGCTGGTTTCCCTCCATGTAGACAAAAACCTACATGGAGTTTTGCATGCAATGCAGAAATGGTTAAGTTCACAGTGCATTATACATTTTCCCCTTTTGTATCAGCCATATTCCTTCTTGTAGACTTTCTATACTGTACAGGTTTTATTGTTCTGAAAGCGATTGCAATTTTTTTAGGGTTTTGATAAATAAACAGAAAGCTGTCAGCTAACAGCCCCACAAAAATTATTCTTTATATCTATCATTCTCAGTGAATCAGAATTTACAATACCTGCAGCTTCTTCAACTTGTTTTTTCCCCCTTTTGTTCTCCCCCCCCCCTCATTTCTCCTCCTCCAGTTCAATCTGATGGAATCCTGCATGGTATATTCTGATGCTAATGCCCATGATATCCATTCTTCCTATCTTTTTCTATATCATAATAGTTAGGAAGAAAGCAGAAATATGGAAAATGGTGGGCTGTGATCAAAGAGGGAAGAAAGATCCTTTTCCTTAGTTCAACAAGCAATTTCAAAGTAGAGGAATAATCTTTGCATTACAACTTGGCATGCCTTAGGCAGAAAGTCAGCGTTCAGAAATGTTTGCACTGCTGTTTTGAAGCGTGAAACTAGAATATTGCACAGGATCATCAGAAAGCTCATTTTAGGTGAAAGTAACACATGCTGTGTATAAAACTTGCTGTGGTAAAGGAACCACAGTGGTTCCACTCTAGGAAATCTTACAGCAAAAATAGTCCCTGACCAAAGCGTTTTGGTTTAAAGAGGGCACATTTTCTTGTCAATAATTAACTAAATGAGAATTCCTTGTTGAGATGGGCAGCTATAGAAATCAAATCAATAAATGGTAAATCATGAATTTTTCTTCAGAATTTTTTCCTCTGCATTTCCTGTGGATTTTTCCCAAAGCGTACAGCAACCTCTTTTGGAGGACTAGCCAAAGAGAGGAAATGGCAGCATATTAATGTTTTTTAGGGGCATATAGGGAATCACTTGCAAGAAGGCAGATGTCAGGAATTCAGCTGATCTTTGCATGATTGTTTAAAATTATATTCTTTGGGTCCATAGACAAATGTTATGCTGAGTCCCACCCTTTAAACTGTTGAAAAACATGGAGTTCCACTGTCAGAACCCCAGTGCTCTGTGGATGTCATTTCTAAGCCATCTTCATTAGTCCTCATCTTGCTACTTGAATTTCTCATTTCAAGAATTGGTGAAAGCTATCTGTGTATCATAAATACCTGAAAGAGTACCCATCATAGTAGCCAAAAGAGAATAACATTACCTATTCCAGTGTCTTCCTCAACCAGGTACTTCATACCTGGTTAGATTGAGAAGTGAAAAGCCTCTCAGAAGAAAACATGGACAAATCTTTAATGTAATGGTGCTGTGAAAACTTCATAATTCATGGCCTTGAAGTCACCAAAATTAAGCTTTACTTGATGAAGATTCCTTAAGAGTTGACCATGCATCAATCTATTTGGAGGGCACTTTTCTTTTTAAAAACCTGCAGTTGTAAGACTTTGGTTCTCAGAGTTCTAAAACCTGCCAGAGATAGTTGTCTTATGGTCTTCTCACAGGAAGCTGCCCTCTGGAGTGCTTGTGGGCAATCCTGAGTCCTCTCCTTGTCTGGAGGGAAATTCCAAGAAGCTGATCCATCTGCTGGCTTCTTGTGCCACTGTGGTCATTGACTTGTCTCTGAGCAGAGCTGTTTTCTGTTCCCCATTGCTTCCCTAGAAGTCACCTTTATCATCTTTATCTTTATATTCTGTTTGGATGAGGATAAAATATTGAACTGACCACATATGTTAAAAAAAGAGAAAAAACTCTAAGCTTGGTTTACATATACATATACATATACATATACATATACATATACATATACATACATATACATATACATATACATATACATATACATATACATATACATAC